ATGTTAATGCTAGCCGTTACAAAATATTAATCCGTAGTTTAATGCTAGCCGGTACAAAATATTAATCCGCAGTTTAATGCTAGACGTTACAAAACATTAATCACGTTTTTAATATGCATCATATTCATTTTGTTTTAATTATTCCAATTAGTGAAAAACAAAATATAGCAGGTTAAGAGCCCCTCAATCCGGAGCTGCATTCGTGTCCGCAGGCCGTGTGTGCACGCCACGCCACCCGACCCAAGCCCAAGCCGGCCCGGCCGGCGCGCGCGTGGCAGGCCGTGTGTGCACGCCACGCCACCCGACCCAAGCCCAAGCCGGCCCGGCCGGCGCGCGCGTGTGTGGTGTGGAGCATAATATTTATTTACTTCTAGGCATAGGAGAGAAGGGAAAGGCTTATAAACACTCTTCCCTCTTATTCCATTTTCTATGTGGGACTAAACTTTCTCACTACAATGTCAAGTTTTAAGTTACACTTATTATAACTCCAACAATCCCCCACATAACTTAAAACTTAAAATAATTCCGAAATAACAGTAAAATAAGAACTTAAAAACAAATAAATAAGATTGCCGGTTCCCTTATACTATGTAATAGGTGTAGGTACCTTTCGGTTTGAACCTTCACTTAGTGACAGTTGTATAGATCCGTGAGAGCTTGGTAGACTACGCCTTGAACCAGTCCTATTTATCAGATTTCTACAGAAAGCACACATAGTACAGTTTTGTAGAATTATAAGCGGGTTGCGCTATTATCAAACTTACGCAGGTATCTTTCATGTGTGTTACTAGGGAGTAGCCCTGATCCCATAGTCGCGGCCTCACAACTACACAAATATAGGTGAATCCTAATAAGGATGCGAGCAAGTAAGCATCCTGCCTCATGGGTCTTGGATTCATTAAGAGTTTAACTCAACCTTTCACTTGCTTTTTGTTCGCGGGAAAAATTGCTTTCTTCATTGATTCCATCGGTTACAAAGATCCGGTCTTTTTTAAGATCCGGTTACAACGAGATCAAAAAAGAAATAAAAATTACAACTTTTCTTGAACGAATCGCGAGCTCCTATTTTGCGGTCACTCGCTTTTGTGGGTTCTTCGCCTGCGCCGGGGTTAATCCGTGGACTACCGCGTGATCTAGATCCGGTCGGATCTACACAGTATAGCGGGTGTTATCTCATGAAGGAAATAACAGCCGGGGGGTACTATTTCACCAAGGAAATAGTAGCCTTCTCGGGATCAAAGGCCAAGCTTTGATCCGGAGGGTAACTGCGTAGATTTTAGATCTGATCGCTCTCGAACTCCTGCCTTATTTGACGTGGACGATCGCTGAGCACCGGATCTGAAAGAACAAGTCTTCAAAGTTCCAAAGCTTCAATCTTTTTAAGTTTTGAGCCTTCAATCCAGCAGAGCTTCGTCGTCAAAAATTCCAACCCTTCACAAATGAGCCCTCAAGTCCTATTTATAGGCACTCAGATCTATGCCTTGGCACAGATCTGGCCGGCCACCAATTGGTGGCTCCCCCCCCCCGCACCCTAGAGGTGTNCCACCTCTTGGTGGCTCGGTTTTGGCCGAGCCACCTAGAGGTGGCTCGGTTTTGGCCGAGTCCTCCAGGTATTGTGCCGTGTTGTCCGTTGTCCGGTTTTATGGTTTTTACTGTTGATCTGGACTCTGATTTGGTGTCCGGATCCCGATTTGGCAGTAAATCCGCCTTGGTGTTTGAGTTCGAATCCGTTCTATGGTTGGATGACTCGTTGACTCTCCGAACCGTTGGCTTGATTCCTCACGCGAATGGATGCATTCCGTTGCTCGCGTGCGATTTGTTAACCTCGTCGCCTCGTTAATCCGCTTCGTTGCATGTCACGTGGCTTTGGCGTTGTGGACTGACGCTCGTGTTTGGATATGTCGCCCGATGGTTCGTTGGTTTGTTGAATCACCGTGCTGAGCTGTGTTGAGGGACCTATGAGCAGTTTTATATGCCTACAGATACCCCCTCCAAAGTATTTCAGCCTCGTTCTTTTATAGAAGAGTCTGGAATACTTTGGATATGATTGTCCCAACCTTCAGTCGGTGTAACGGGACCTTGGAATGACTTCTGTTCTTGATTCCTTCAATCCTTCAGGCTATTCGGTGCTTTGTCGAATGTCTGTAAGGGTTCCGGTGCTGCATTTATTGTCTGACCATTGTCAGAATTTTGGACTTGAAGTCGATTCCTGATTTTCTGATCTTTAGCTCGTGTTTGTTGGTTCAACATAGAACTGACCCTCGATTGTTGGCGTTGAGTCTTTATTTACGACGCGTTATCCGGTGTAGTGTTGTTGAGTTATCCTTAAGAATATTTTTAAAAAAATATTCTCCAGAAACTTCTCAACCAAAAATAGGGAATAGTTTATATTCGTATACCTTATTGGAGTATTAAGAAGCAGTTTATACTCGTATACTTTTCGGAGTAGTTTCATGTCCGAATGAGCCGAACCGGCCTAATAATGACCCAAAAAAGGCAGTAATTAGGCTCAAAAAATCTTCCGACCCTTCCGAATGTGTGGGAGAGGAAAGAATAAACAAAGGACTGAACCATCGGTCGATTTGAAGTTGTTTTGATGCTCTTGAATTCTGGTTCAAGTCTGGTTCAAACTGGTTCAGGACTGGTTCAACCTGGTTCAAGGCTGGTTCAACCTGGTTCAGAACTGGTTCAGAACTGGTTCAAGACTGGTTCAGACTGGTTCATCCTGGTCTGGTCTGGTTCAGTCTGGTTTGGCCTGGTTCAGCCTCTTTTGAACTGATTTGGACTGGTCTGGTCTGGTTCAACCTGGTCCGGTCTGGTTCAGGGCTGGTTCACATTATAAAAGGGGTTCTTTTTCCTTTCTTTTCCTCCTCTCTAGGGCCGGCCACTATTCCTCCCCTTTTTTGGATTTTCTCTTCCCTCGTGCATCCTTTCTCCCTCAAATCCTCATATTTGTCTTAGATCTAGCCTTCCTTTGGATCTTAGACTAAAAAATCCCTCAAAAATCTCCATATAAAAAATTTCTCTCAGGCCCCTCGAGCACGTGGTTCGAGCCTCTTTTCAAGATTTGCTTTTTTGTCGGATCCCCGAGCTTTCTTTCAGGTATATCCTCCATAATTTTAACATATTTCATGCTTAATTCAATTTATGAACTTGTGGGATCGCATGTGAGGGTTAGGATTATGATTTGACGCCTCGAGCTCGTCTTTCAGGGGGGTAGAATTGCAATAAATAGGGAAATTTTTTTTTTCTGGATCTGATCCCCTAATTTATTTTGCAGATCATCATGTCGCGTGTCCCGAGAGGTCGCTCCCCTGCTGCATCGGCTGATGGCGTGCTTCCTTCGTATGCTGGTGAGCTATTTTTGGCATATTTGGAAATTTACAAATTAGTCCTCTTTTTCCTGGAAATTTGCAAATTAGTCCTTTTTTCCCACGTTGTTCTCCTTGGTGAGGCAATCGGGAAGAGCCTTGATTCTCCTTGGTGAGGATCGACGCTTTAAAGATAGGTTTTGCTTGGTCAAAACCATATCTCAAAATAAAGGGGGCGTTTTGACGCTGCATTGTGCCTTATAATGCAGGGATATATTGTCGATATACCCTATCTTATGAATGCACAATGTGGCCAAATCGTCTCACCCTTTATAAGGCAACGACTCTATCTTACCCATTTGTAAGATGAGTTCAATTTCCTTTTATAACTGGAATTAACAAACGTTTAATTGCTTGTTTTCAGTGGAGTATCCTTCCGGAGCATTTTCATCTCATGCGGTGAACGGACGTCGTGACGAGTATTATTCGACGTCTGATGATTTTTCACCCATTACACTTACTTCTCAGTTTGTTCCGGGCACGTCGACAGAGGTTGCCCAAGTGGTGAAGGAAGGTGGACATCGAGCTCTTCAACAGTTGATTACAGATGCGCCTTTCGTGAAGGATGTCAGTTCTGTTCAGTCTCTCAGGAAGACCGACTTTTTATTTGATGATTCTGTCAGAGATCCTGATGCAGTGTTCATTAATGCCGAGATGTGGCTTCATAAGAATAGCGGTGGTTTCATATATTTGCCGAAGATTTCTCGACACCGCTCGTTGACTGAGCTTAGGCGTCAGGCTGCTAAACGGGAGATGTCGTGGCGCTTGATGGAGGAGCATGAGAGCGTTCACTATGGCTATATCACTCATCAGGCAGCTCCTGGTTCGAGCAGGAATCACATCATTGGATTGCGTCCTGGAGTACTGGGACTAGATGCACCGCCACGTAACGAGTTTCTTGCCTCTGCCTCTACTTTGAGGAATTGCCTCGCTGACTTAGGACGGGAGGTGCTTGCGACGCGTCATAGATTTTATGGCTGGGTCCATTCTCTAGACAAGCTTTGGTGGACTTGCATGACGAAATACGTCTTAAGCCGATGGAGCGAGGAGTTGCACGCTTGTGGTCTATATGCAGCTATTCGTGCCTCCATGTATGGCTTGCCCGTCAGCGCGAAACATTTCTTCGCTTTGTGCGAGCTCTATAACCCGGATTCGAGCACTTTTCTGACTAGGCACGGGGAGTTGGGCTTGGCTCTCCATGAGATGCACAAAATTTTTGGTTTGCCCATGGGTCAGATGTTATATCAGGAGTACTTTCCTTCCAACCATGAATTGAGTCAGCTGAAGGACCGTACGCCCGACCGCTATGAGACTTTATAGGATCTCACATGTCACTATCATATTGCTTTGGCGCAGTCTAAGCCTTTAGCGAAGAGGACTAAATCAAATGTGAGCCTAAAGCAGTTCGCGTCTTATTTGTTCAGAAATCTAGAGAGCAATTCTGGCGAGGCTATTTGTGAGCTGGCACCACTCACTCCTTCAGGGGTTAATAATCTATTGAAGAAGATTGACGCTCATTCCTATACCATTAGCAGTCCTGAGAGTGGCTTTCCTGTAGGGACCAAGTTTAAATCATTCTTATGGCATGCGACCGCACCGATTCGGCCGATGACCCTTCTTGCCGGTTACCTTGCCATCTAGTTAAAGAAATGTGTGGTCCCGTATCAGTCTGGTGATGCTTTGCCATTGGAAGTGCTCTACCCAGCTGTTCAACTTGCCTACAAAAAGGAACTTTCGCTTCTTCCAGTGATGGTGGCTAACATTCATCGAGGGCTTCGATAGATTTCTAGTGCTTTTACACGGAAAGAAAGTGAATCACCGACTCAGATTCCTACCATTAAGGTGGAGCTTCCATATACTTATTTGATGGCTTGGTTCGTCCTTCATCGTTCTGATATGATGTCGGTACCGAACGCCACAGACCACTCTGTTCCCCTACTACAGTTGCTTAAGAATGGCAAGTGGGAGGGCCGAGGATTCCCTGACATCAGAAGGAAGCTACAGGTCCACAAGTGCTGGGCATTCTCCACTTGCTTTCCGCAGTTCTCCAGCCGATATGGCGAGTGTCTGATTAATGAGGAAAAGCCGAGGGAGTATCGAACTTATTTAGATATCGGCTGCTTTAATTGGCTAGTGAACATTAGGCCGGGCTATCTGACCTTCTGGGTGGGGAATCAGTATTTTATAGAGCCATATCTACCTTGCCGATTCGCCCGCCAGTTTGGTTATGATCAGCTTTATGTCGGGAATCCACGTCAGTAGCTTCGGACTCATGGAGGTTTGGTGGATGGTCTTCGTGCATGGTTGTGGACCGTGACGGGCTGCACTGGTGCTAAGTTTAGTCTCCTGAGTGCTGAGTGGCAGTTGAATCTCACCTTCTTAAGCTGCAGGTGGTTGTTAGCAGCTAATAAAACTGTCCCCGTGAAGCCGATTGAAGAACTAGTGGCCGAGGAAGCTTCTCAGGTTGATTCTCGTGTGATTCAGGACTGTGCCTGGTCACAGAGGGCGCGGGGCAAGACCTGCCGAATTGACGCAGAAGGAAATAAGGCCTTCAGTTCTGTTGGAGAGGCCTCAGGCGGAGATCCTGAAGACTACAAGGAAGATTTCAAGCGAGGTTAGTCACCTATCTTCTCCCTCTGCATTTCAGAATTGTTAGTCCTGACCACTATCTGATGTTTCAGGGACAGCGACTGACAGTGAAGAAGAATTCCGTCCTTTTACTCGGGCAAGACCTTCAACTGTTGCTCCAGCTGCTAGGCGGAAGAAACTAGTTCGCAAGCCGCGTGCAGATCCGCGAGCATCTGACATGGATTTGGCTAGTGACGATTCTGCTAGAGATGGAGGTAACATCTATTCTATAGACCATTCTCTTGATCGTTTAGAATTTCAGGCTCATGCTTTTCCATTCTATGCAGGAGAGCGCGAGGAAGGCGAGATGTGTCCCAATCCCATTCCTCATGATTTTGTATCTTCTGGTGAGCCTGACTCACCGTACCAGGTAGAGAAGCCTGTAGAAGCTATCGACGTTAGGGAGGCTATCAATGTAGGACCCGATTCAGCGAGTCCAGGTACATATACCATTGACAATATATCTTTTAGATGACACACGAAGAAGTTGAACGATCCAAAATTTGTGCATTCCCTAATCGTCTCTATGCTTCTTGCTCTTTTAGATAAATTGCAGAAGGCAAACATGGACTTTGGGAGTGAAGAGGCTGACGCACCCGTAGGAGGTAAGTCATTTCCTTGGTCATAGTATCTTCATTCTTCCTTCGCCGTGTTTATATTTTCTCGTGTCAGATTTCCCGACCGAAGATTTCGACGGGGAAGGTTTGCTTGTGGACACTCCTATGCTCCACTTCATGTATGACCAGATGTCTGAGGATATGTTTCTTGAGTCTACACTCCCTAAGAATCCCGAGGATGGTTCTTTTGAAGGTGCGTGCCTCTTCTTAAGTTAATTATAGGACTAGCTAATTTTTGACTAATGCAGATATAATGTAATGCATTTGGGCATTCTGTTTTGTGTTCGATAAGAGCTTTTGTCGAGACTAATCCTGTTGAGCCGGTTGTGAGACCAGCCACACCAGCCGATACATCCACAGCCGTTACACCTCCACTACCCCCAGCGACTCAAGGGGAAGGAGGTATAAATTAAGCAACTGAGAAATATCATTTATTTCCTCATTAAGGCTTTTGAGCAACTGAGAAATATCATTTATTTCCTCATTAAGGCTTTTGACGAATTTCTCCTTTTTGTGTAGGGCTTCCTTCTCAGCTTCATATCCTCGCGAATGAGTTGTTATCGGACAATGACCCTGAGAAGATCGTCATCTGCATAGAAGTCCGCTCTTTCTTCTCCTTTGTGAATGCTATGCTTGGCAAACTCTTCCACGGCGGACTTTCCCTTCACCAGTTTAAGCCCTTCCTTGATTCTAGGATAAATTCAATACCTTGATTCTAGGATAAATTCAATAAGGGATGCAGGATACCCGGATCTGGCGAAGGCTATAGTTGATGATATTGACTGCCTAGAGCGTGAGCTTCAGATGTTTCGCGAGCTCCGGGATGCAGGTGCCTCTTCATTCATTGCTGTCGGGTTGCATACTCGCTTACAGACATGGCGCGATACTCAGATTCTTGCTGAGCTCGAGATTCAGGTGCAGCGGGACCGGGTAGACCGAGTTGAGGCTAACCTTACTATTAGATCATCCTCACTCGACAAGCTTGATTCTTCCATTGCCTCTTGTGAGACCCAGATAGACCAGCTCCGAAGAGAACTCCGTGAGAAAGAGGAGACTTTGAGTATTCTTCAGATGACGAAGATACAGGATCAGTAAGCACACACTGCTTTATCTGATGAGATGAAGTCCTTGAAGCAGAAGCTGGTCGAGACAGAGGAGGTCGCTGTGAAGACTTTAGCCGTGACTGAAGAGTCCATCAGAGACGAGTTGCAAGATGAGCTTAGGCAAGCTTATGATGAGAAGCTGTCTAAGTTTAGTCAGCAGCTTTTTAGCCATGGGCTTGATGTATGATTTCATTTGCTGAATACTTTGACTTTTGATTCTCTTAGTGAAACTGGTTTTCATCTTTATCTTTATAATGATTCGTCATTCCGTTTGAAATGATTGACCATAATACTCATAGGATTTTTGGCAAACCCTCAGCCTTCAACGGGTTTGATAAGCCTTTACCGACTACCGTTTGAGTCGGGCTAGCATGCGGATTGTCTAAATCCGTTCCGCATGTAACGTTGTGCTAAGAGAATGAATTCTCTTAGACTTGGCGCTACGACTTCGAATACGTAGGCTTCGCCCTTGTTACGGGAATAGGCTACCCGGCTACGTGTATTAGATGCTGACTTATCCTTACTTAGGTTTCAGGATAGAATACCCCAGAATCAAACTCTGATGTCTTCTTCCACGGAGAAAGACTAAACCGGCGACGCGTGTTAGGCGTCGGCATATCCTTTCTTAGGATTCAGGATGAAATTCCCCATGCGTGTAAGACATGGATTTAGGTGTTATTAATAACAATCTGCCACAATGTTGAATATGTGAACGGGTGTTCTTTTTGAAAGGAAGAATTTTATATTCTATTTCCCGGTCTTCTTTTAGGGTGAAGGCGAACCCGAATACAAGGAAGGAAGAATTTTATATTCTATTCCTTGATTCTGGAAAGGAAGAATTTTATATTCTATTTCCAGCGAAGAAGAAACTAGAAGTGGGGTGTCCACTCCGAGAATCTGGAAGATCTAGATAAACTTACCTTTTATAGGCTTAGTTATCTAATCGGAAGATGAGTTTTTTCGTTTATCGAAATGAAATTTCAACTTCGGTTATGACCATGAGAAGGCTTAACCAAAGAGAAAAAGAAGGGAGTTCTTTCGTTTATCGAAAGGGGACTCTGAACTGAAAGTGGACATCTTGTTCATGAAAAGAGTCAAGAGGGCCTGAAAGACATTTTTGGTGGACTCACTGTCAATTGAAATTGATCAGTGAGGGATTTTGGTGGTGAAAATGATTTTGGGTTATCCTCTAGAATATTAAGTGTAATATTCTTCAAGGAACTTCCCGGTAAATGGGTTATCCTAAATGTACTAGGGATAGTACTTTTTCAGGAACTTCCCATTTATTGGCATTAATTGCCTGTCGCACTCTTGAATAATCAGGCGATATACGCCGTTTGAGTAGACTGTATCTATCACAAACGGTCCTTCCCATTTGGGTTCAAATTTACCTTTCTTCTTGGAGTTGAGAATTATCGGTCGGCGAGCAGCGATGACCAGATCTCCTTCATTGAAGCTTCCCTGTCGGACTCTTTTGTTAAAGGCCCTAGATATTCGGGCTTGATAAAACTCAATTTGTTGTTGAGCTTCCAAGCACTTTTCATCCAACCTTTCGAGTTCTTCGAGACGTTTTTGATGTTGTTCTTCTGTTGTCATCTCGGTTGCGAGGGCGATCCGAAGGGATGTGATTTGAATCTCCAATGGTAGCACAGCTTCACATCCGTATACCAACGAATATGGGGTGGCCCCTGTAGGTGTGCGTATGGTGGTGCGATAAGCTCAGAGTGCTTCACCGAGTTTATCGTCCCAGTCTCGTTTATTGGTCTTCACGAGCTTTGACAGGATTTTAATAATCATCATGTTAAACGTCTCAGCTAATCCATTTGCAGCGGGATAATAAGCTGTTGACGAAACATCTTGAATTTTGAACTTGTCACAAAACCTGACGAAGGCGTTGCTTATGAACTATGGACCGTTGTCATGAATGATCCGTCTTGGCACGCCGTGTCTGTATATGACATGATGCTTGATGAAATTGATGATGTTGTTCGTCTTCACTTCTCTAAGCGAAATCGCTTCAGCCCACTTTGAAAAGTAATCCGTGATTGCGAGGATGAATCGATCACCTTTGACTGAAGGGGGAAAAATAGGACCGACAATGTCCATGCCCCATGTCTCGAACGATCAAGACGTGGTTGACGTATGTAAATGCTCTGGTGGTTGATGCATATAATTTGCATGTATTTGACAAGCATGACCCTCTCGGGCGTATTCGATTGCGTCACGAACCATTGTTGTCCAAAAATATCCCATTCTCCTGATGCGATCATACAGTTTGGGACCGGGCTG